ATTCTACATGAACTAGAGTCCGTAGAAGTTGTTGGACAAAGGAATGGAGAAATTCATGTAACCGTGTAGAATGGGGTATGGAAAAAGGCATGTTTAGGCCATATCGGAGCTGTTGGGGAAATTGATGGTAGGTGCCTATCCAATGGGTTATGGAAAAAGCATGTTTGGGTCACTTTCTGATCTGATAACAATGCATATTTATTGTTCTTGAAAGATGCTAAGGTTACTGTAGAATCTTGGAGCCAAAATAACATGAAGGTGAAATAAGGGATTAATTAGCTCAGTATGTGATCAATCACATCTATGTTGATTGGAAACTTAAAATACTTGTTTTTGCTGATTGCCTTTGCCTCGACACTGTAAAGCTTATATGCAATTGATGATATTTGGAGCGTAGTAATTCTCCTTTTTGTACGTTTAGCATAATTCCAAGGATGATCTCATCTTCCTAGATTGTTTGAAGTAATACAATGTTCTTATATATCTTCTATATATTCTCCGCAATCAGTATTTAGAGCTGTAAAAATCTTAACTTCTAAATCAACTTTTTAAACATAATATTGAATATTAACTTTGTTGTTTACACTCTTATTTTTATTTATTTATTTATTTTTCAAATAACTGCATGGCGTGGGGCGTGCACCTCAAAAAAATGAAGACATCCCCCATTCTACACGAACCGGACCAGTGTGGAATTGACAGCATGCCTATGAAATTGAAGAAAATTATGCAGGCGCAAGTGTGGAATGGGGCATATGGAGAAAACATGTTTAGGTCCAATTCGAGTTGTTGAGGAAATTAATTATAAACGTGTGCAATGGGTTGTGGAAATATATCGCAGCCACTTTGGACCGAGAAAATGAAGAAATCAACTGATGCTGACATTATGAAATGACCGTGGGTAGAAAAAAGCATGCTTTGGGTCCCATCATCCGAACCGTTGGGAAAATTGTATCCGAATGTGGCTTCCTCTTTTCTATTAACCACGTTTTAGACGTAACTTATCTTGAGAATGCATTTGTTTCGATCAAAAGGTCAGTTGCTGCTTGAATATGACAAGATAATTTACTCGGCAAAAATTATGAATTTTTCAAGTAACAGTTTATTAAGGACATTTCTTCAGAAATAATTAATCCCCAAGTGTTGCAATTAATAAATTTATTACACTA